TTATGACTTTTCTCATGCTTCCTAGTTTAAGCAGCAGTTTTTCTAACCTTTTCAGCCAGTAGGGGGTATAGTTGTTCTGTGTGATCATATATAAGCAATACACACACATGCACACACACACATACACACATATATACACAAGAACAATTGTATGTACACTGCATAGGCAAGTTGTGGAGATTATAGCTCTTCGGAAATTCATGAACTACAATTCCTGGAGTCATCGATGCTGGATATGCTGGCTGATATACTGGAATTGTCACATATAATCCAAAACAGCAAAACCTAATGAATATAACATATTCAGATTTCAATTAATTTACTGTTTCATTTTGATTTGTGTCTTGTTTATGAAAAATAATAGTTTATTCAAATAGGTGAACCCTAAGCCGAACCCTCACCACCCTCCAGGCCTTCCGCAAAGCCCTTAAAACCTGGCTGTTCCGACAGGCCTGGGGCTAAAGAGCTGTTGCCCCCCTCCTCGAATGGTATGACTGTTGTGTGCTTTTAAATTATGTATTGTTATGTTCGTCTTTTTTATTCCCTGTCTGTACCCCCCTTCCCTGATTTGAATTGTGAGCCGCCCTGAGTCCCCTTCGGGGAAAAGGGCGGCATATAAATGTAATCAATCAATCAATCAATCAATCAATTTCAGGAATGAGTTTTGGAAGGAGGGGGTGGGCTGGGCTGGGGGTTTTCTGAAGCCACATTTCATATTCTAATTTAGAAACCAGCCAGTCTGAGCACTGGCCGCCCAGTCGTATTAGTTATTTCCTAACTTTCAGCATGCTTAACCATAAACCCTAAGCGCTCTCCTACTAATTCTATTAAAACAACCAAAGACAAGGTTTTTAAGTACCACAAGCTGTGGGTTCAACTTCCTCTGCTCTGCTGCTGGCTTTCATGTTATATTTCCCTAAAGAGATTTTTTTTTTCCTCTTTCCCAGCCCAAAAACACAATAGGGGAAATCAACCAAACACCTTTTAGAAACAATTCAAAACTGCCCGAAACAAGGGGAAAAAAACAGCTCAGCTCACATGCAACCTGGAATCTCCTCCCTCTGGGGACCTCGGCTGTGGTAGCTCTGCTTCCAGACCACCCCGAGTTGGCGAGATTCTCAATCCCCAAATTATGCCAATGTGTTTGGAAGACTTTGCGACTTCAATCGTGCCCAGAACAAGCGCAGTGGAAGCCTTGATCTATTCAGGGCTCAAGGCCCGCAGCCTGGAAGAACTGTTGCATTTCAGACTGTAAGAGTAGATTAGGAGACAGGATCCGCTGTCGGTGACAATCTCCTTGCACGAAGTGTGCAAAAGGGATCCATTTGCTTAAGCTTAACTAACAGCTGACACTCCTAGAGGTTTGTTCCCCCTCTCAAGTAAAGGGGAGTCATCCAATGGTGGGTTCCAGATCCCGTCGCAACTGGTACGCTGCGACGGGGCCGGGCGTCCACTTTGGGCATGCGCGCTGCACACACACACCACTGCCCTGCGATGCTCCAGCTGCTCGTCGGACCATACGCTGCGCATGTGTGCGCAGATGGCTTGGTTGTCTTAAAAACAGGTAAGGAACCGGGGGGGGGGGGGCAACCAAACAAACACCGTTCCGGTTCGGTGGTCGCTGATCAAGAAAAAAAAAAAGTGTTGCCCCCTGAAAAAACTCACCCTTGGGACAACCATCCACTGTCGCCAAAAATTCTCTTTCCACAAGGACATGCAGGCTTCTTAACAGGTGAGATTGGAAACCAACCACAGGGGCCCAATCCCTGTTTTACAGACCCAAATTTGGCAGATTTACTGTAGCCGAGAGAGAGGAAATACAGGTAGTCCTCGGCTTACAACCACTACTGAGCCCCAAATTTTCGTTGCTAAGTGAGACATTCGTTCCGTGAATTGTGTCCCATTTTACGGCCTTTCTTGCCCCGGTTGTTAAGTGAATCACTGCAGCTGTTAAGTTAGTCATGCGGTTGTTAAGAGAAGCTGGCTTCCCCATTGACTTTGTTCGTTAGAAGGTGGCCAAAGGGGATCACGTGACTCAACCCCCCCCACAACGCTGCAACCATCATAAATATGAATCAGTTGCCAAGCGCCTGGATTTGGCTCACGTGACCATGGAGATGCTGCAACGGTCGTAAGTGTGAAAAATGGTCGTTAAGTCACCTTTTTTTTAGTGCCGTTATTAACTTTGAATGGTCACTAAATGATCTGTTGTAAGTTGAGGACTACCTGTATTCAAAACCAGAACTCAGGCCACTGGCTAGGACCAGAGGTGGGATTCTACCCGTTCGGATCGGTTCAGGTGAATGGTTAGCTCTGACGATCAGCTGGGAGTGAACTGGTTCGCCCTGACAATCAAGTGCGCCCGCCCACCCGCCCGCCACTGTGCTTTACCGACCTATTATCTTCTCAGCTGAGTTACGTGGCAGAGTGGATTGCCACGCTTCTGCTGTTTTCCTCCCCAGCAGTAAAGCGGAAGGAGTTTTCTCAAAACTGCACGTGCAAAGAAGCGCGCGATCTCCGATCCGGTTGTTACACCGGTAGGATCCCACAACTGACTGGGACCCTACTGCGCATCAAAAAACCCAACGGACCTTTTGGAGGAGAAAGGAAGGGCTGGCATCAACAGACACAGAGGTTCGGGGAGGGCACGTTTTTCAAGAGCTGAGGGTCCCGCGAGAAAAAGCAAGACAGCGGGCGAGTGACAGACAAAGGGGTCTGGGACAGGCGGGGGTGGGGGGGAGAGGAGGAGGAGGCCAGGACCCTTACCTTGCTCAAGTATTCCTTCATGACCTGGATGAAGTAGGGCATGGCAAAGTCCATGATGTTGTGTCTCCAGGCGGTTTCCAAGACCACGTCTGGCCGGAGAAGGTCGTAGCAAGTGAAGAGGCAGGCGCCAAAACATTCCTGCTTGCCTTCCTGGAGGAACCACTGCAGCAGCTCCTCCGCCAGCTCCGTGTCTTTGGACTCTGAGGCGTATTGCATGGCGTCCTGGAAGGAAGGGGAGGAGGAGAAACAAGGTCCCATCAAGGACGGGTCATCAGCACAATGCTCGGGAAGGGCAGGGGAGTCCGCCAGCTACCAAACTCAATTTCAATTTTTTTACAATGCTGTTGACTTCGGGGGCCGGGATAGGCTTGGCCAACTTGACGTCACTCGTGTCGGGGGGCATCTGTGGTGGCCCAAGCGCTCTGCCAGCGAAAACAGGCTCCAGAGCTCCGTTTTCAGCTGCAACGGCCTCCTGCCACCCTCTGCCAGTGAAAATGAAGTTCGGGAGGGCCATGTGTGCCCCCCCATCCCGAGATCCGTTTTCACAGACACAGGGCAGCAGGAGGCAGTTGGAGCTGGAAACGCAGCCTGGGAGGGCTGCACACGGCCCTCCCGAGCTCCATTTTTATTGACAGAGTCACTGGACGCCGGTCCTTTGCTGTTTCTAGAGTGGCCCTGCGGATGAGATCTAAGCACCCCGCGGGCTGGATCCGGCCCCCCAGGCCTCAAGTTTGACACCCCTGGACTAAAGATTCTCAAATTAACTGTCCTTTTGGTTTCTAAGGAAAAGCAATAGCACTTAAATCTTATATGCAGGTAGTCCCCGACTTACCACTGCAATTAAGTCCAATTTTTCTGTTGCTAAGCGAGACACTTGTTCAGTGAATTTTGTCCCATTTTGCAACCTTTCTTGCCCCAGTTGTTAAGTGAACCACTGCAGTTGTTAAGTTAGTGGTTGTTAAGTGAATCTGGCTTCCTCACATTTATTTTGCTTGTCAGAAGGTTGCAAAAGAGGATTTACATGACTCCGGGACACTGCAACCAACATAAATATGAACCGGTCGCCAAGTGTCCGAATTCTGATCTCATGACCTCAGGGACGCTACAACAGTCATAAGTGTGAAGACGGTGATAAGTCACTTTTTACAATGCTGTTGTAACTTTGAACAGTGCGAACTGTTGTTAAGCCGAGGACTATCTGTACTGCTCCAGAGTGCTTTTACATCCCTCTCTAAGCAATTTACAGAGTCAGCCTCTTGCCCCCAACAATCTGGCTCCTTAATTTCCCGATCTCAGAAGGATGGAAAGCTGAGTCAACCTTGAACTGCTCAGGATCAAACTCCTGGCAGTGAGCTGAATTAATCTGCCATACTGCACTCTAACTACTGTGCCAGCATGGCTCCTATTAAGTATTATTTATATGATAAACGTTTCAGTCTTGAACTAATTACTTAATATTAAAACAAACCTATAAATGTATATTTGATGCTGTAAGTCAACCCCCCCCCCAAAGTCTTTTAGAGTGGATGGCCATAACGAGAACATCAGAGACTAGCAATAGCATTTAAGACTTATATACCGCTTTGCAGCCCTCTCTAAGCGGTTTACGGAGTCAGCATCTTGCCCCTCAACAATCTGGGTCCCCATTTTCCTGACCATGGAAGGATGGAAGGCTGAGTCGACCTTGAACCCTGTCAGGATCGAACTTCCAGGCTGTGGGCAGAGTTAGCCTGCAATACTGTATCCTAACCACTGCGCCGCCCGGGCTGCGGAGCTCTTCCTGAACTCATCCACCCCGTCATCCTTCCCACTGGGCGGATGCCGTTGAGCTCCGGTACCTTGTAGAGTCGGTCTTTTTTGCAGAGTTCCACGCTTTGCTTCCAGCGGTTGTTCCCTTTGAAGAGATAGGCGGCGATTCTCCGGAACTCAATCAACTCGTGTTTCTCCAGGCGTTGGGCGAGGGAGATGTTGTCGAAGTTGTCGTAGGCGTCTATCGATGTCCGAAGAGCCTGGACAGGAGATAAGCCGGCACTATAACCCAAGTTTTGAAAATGGCCACCCCTGCAAAGTCTGAACGTCGGGAGGTCGACGGCCTGCATCCCACCTTCCCCAAGCCGCCAGGGGCCTCACCTCGGAGTCCAGGATGGGCCCCGGAAACCGTCTCCTACCTGGTAATCTTCTTCTGTAATGAAGAGGTTGTTGAGGGACTCGTTCACGGATTTGTTGTTGTGGTTCTGCACCGAGCGCAGGTAGGGCTTCACCAGCGGAAGTTGCTTCACCTGTTCAGAGGACACACCTTCACTGTTGAGGCATCAGGCTAAAATCCAGGAGGAGGTGAGTTCTAGTCCTGCCTTAAGCATGAAAGCTGTCTGGGTGGCATTGGGCTAATCACCAGGAGACAGTGAGTTCTAGTGCTGCTTTAAGCATGAAAGCTGTCTGGGTGGGCTTGGGGCAATTACCAGGAGACAGTGAATTCTAGTCCCATCTTAGGCACAAAAGCCTACTGGGTGACTCTGGGCCAATCACCAGGAGATGGTGAGCTCTAGTCACAGCTTAGGCATGAAAGCTGACTGGGTGACTTTGGGCCCATCACCAGGAAATGGTGAGTTCTAGTGCTGCCTTGGGCATGAAAGCTGCCTGGATGGCACTGGGCCGATCACCAGGAGACGGTGAGTTCTAGTGCTGCCTTAGGCACAAAAGTCCCATCTTAGGCACAAAAGCCTACTGGGTGACTCTGAGCAAAATCACCAGCAGGTGGCGAGTTCTAGGCACAGCTTAGGCATAAAAGTCAGCTGGGTGACTTTGGGCCAATCACCAGGAGATGGTGAGTTCTAGTGCTGTCTTGGTGATGAAAGCTGACTGGGTGATTTTAGGCCAGTCACACTCTCTCAGCCCAGTCCATGTCACAGGACTTGCTGTTCTGGAGAAAGCAGGAGCATAGTACGTGTTTGCCACCTTGAGTTAATTTATAAAAATAATAAAGGCAGGATATAAATATTGTATTTTTTGCTCCATGATAGCACTCCCCCTCCCCCCAAAAAAGTGGGTGGAAATGTCTTATGGAGCAAAAAATACGGGCCACGATAGCAGGATCCTTTGACGGTGCTGAATCCCGCCTCTTCTGTCTTTGCCATTGCCCGTTTTCCTCCTCTCAACCTAGGTGGGTCTTATGGTCAGATGCGTCGTTAGAGTGCGAAAAATACGGTAATAAATAAATGAAGAAATTAAAAACTTCCCGAGGGCAAAGAAAGAAAGGAAAAAAGCCCGGCGGTTTTCTTGCTTACCTTACTAAAGAAATTGACCGCACGGGTATGATCCAGCCGCGGCGAAAGCACCATCAGTAAGTCGTTGAGCAGCAGAGGTTTAAATTCTAGGTAAAACTGAATTGCTTTGTAGTAAAGCTCCACATTCGCCACCTGCAAGGACAACAGGCAAGAAGAAGTGAGTGCTACTTGTGCATGTTTGCAAAAAACAATGACAAGGGGGATGCGAGTAGCACAACCTTCCAGCCAAGCTCACTCTTCATCAGGCCTCAACGTGGTGTACAGCCCGCCCCGCCCCCAAAAAGGGCTGCATTTTTGCTCAGCTGGCTGCAGCTGCTTTCAAAACCAGCGGGTTAAGATAGCATGGTTTGGATTTGCCTGGCGGCTTCTCCCCTTTTTTAAGCTCGTCGCTGATTGCCTAGGGTAGAGCAGTGCGGTGGCCTAGAGGGGGAACCCTCGCCTCACAATCAGGAGGCTGTGAGTTCGATCCTAGATAGAGGTAGATATTTCTCTCTCTGGGCACCATGAGAATATATCTGCCGAACAAAACTTCAGACTGGTGACCAGGAAAGGCATCCGGCCAATAAACATTCAGCTCCGTTCAGTTGCCCAGACTCTACCCTGCAAGGGATTATGGGGTCGTTAAAAGGAGATGCTGATGATGATCAGAGATTGCCCAGATAAAAATAGAAGATAAAAGAGTACATTCTCTACATCTGCTCCAAGGGCTTTGGGGTTGGGTTGGTTCCTTGCTTCTAATATCAAGTGGACTTGAATGGAACATGTGGGACACTGTTTCTAAGATCTGGTGAATAAAGGTGAATACAGGTGTCCCAGGATAATGTTGCAGGATCCAGTCAGGATTGGTCACCGGGACCAGAGGTTTAGTCTTCCGAGGTTTCGGACTTGTGCTGAAGCCCCCATCCTCAGGGCACTTCTCTCTCACCAGAATGTGTCCTTTGGACTATTCTATGCAACTTTTAAGACCTGTGGACTTCAATTCTCAGAATTCCCCAGCAAGAGAGGCCCTCGTGAGAGGGTCACACTTCAGAAGACTCTGGATATAAAGTGGGTACTTGAACCTATTTGTTGTGGCCTGTCGACCACCAGCCCCTCCAGCAGCCAAATCAGATGAGGAGAAGGAGGCGTGGGAGTAAAGGCAAACTGAGAGCTCTGAGGGGGAAGAGGGAATGGAGCTGGCAGAGAGAAAGAAAGAGAGAGAGAGACAGAGAGAGAGAGAGAGAGACAGAGAAACAGAGAGAGAGAGAGAGAGAGACAGAGACACACAGAGAGAGACACAGAGACAGAGACAGAGAGAAACAGAGAGATAGAGAGACAGACAGAGAGAGACAGGCAGAGGCAGAGCCTGGGCCGTCCGTCAGCCCTCAGATGGAGAGTCAACAGTCCCCAGGTCTGGAGGTGGCTGATGAGGAAGAGGAGGAAGAGCTGGGTCCAGTGCCTGATGCATGGATGCACAGAAGGCAGAGGAGAGGAGAGGAGAGCAGTGGAAATCCATGGGCCGGTCCTTGGGATGGAAGAGCCACTGCTGCTAGTGAAGCCCCACCCTAACTTTGGGGATAAAAGGCAGGGGGCGGAGATGAATAGATATGGCAGGCAACTATTCATCTCCCAGCCGGGGAGACTTGTTAGCCTGTGAAATAAACTTTTTGCCGGCATTCCTAATAAAGGAATCTTTTGAGTTCACGGCAGAGGGTTCGTCGTGTTTGGGGAACTGGGTTAGAACGTTGTTTTCCACCAAGCAGGAACATCAGAAAGGAAACCTGAAACCTGAAGAGGTTATGTCAAGAAAGATCTCCTACCTTAGTGATGATGTCCTTGAATTGCCCTTCCTTCCAGGCATCTGTGGGATGGTTCATCATTGTAATAATAGCATTATCGTATTCTTCATATTTATCGTACAGGAAAACCAACTCTCCCCAGAGGTGGGCTTGCTCAGCAGCCCTCAACACCTAGGCGGAACAAAGCATTGTGTGAATTGAAGCATGAGAAGGCAGGCCTCTCTAACCCAACTATTCTAGCATGAGCTTCCAACTTTAACAACTGCCTGGTTTGGCTCTGCAACCCAACAAGACAGACACAGACTTCAGAGGATGATTAGAACTGCAGAAAAAACAATGGCTACCAACCTGCCTTCCATTGAGGACCTGTACACTGCACGAGTCAAAAAGAGGGCTGTGAAAATATCTACAGACCCCTCGCATCCTGGACATAAATTGTTTCAACTCCTACCCTCAAAACGACGCTATAGGGCATTGCACACCAGAACAACTAGACACAAGGACG